ACATGAGCATTCAATGACTGGAACGAATGAGTTGTGGGTGTTTCCATTACAGCACCGACTACGTCGTGATGGCTGGCGCGGGGGATTGATGAAGGGGAGCACCGTGAACGATGTTTAAAAGAGAAGATAGCTTTTTAATACTTTTTAGTAACGGACCACTTAGGCGCTCCGCTATTTTACCTACACCGGGTGCGCTGACCTCTGGGCCATGTCAGTAGCCTCAAGACCTACTGTATATTGAGCATATGTATACATGTAATGCTAGAGTATTATGTCATCTTTCGTCTTCAGAGAAGTTTCGCAACGCTATTGAACAGTATGCTTGATCAAAAGTCGCCAGACAGATTTAAGAAGAGCTGATTTCAGATAGTTTTTAACAACATGACAGATAGCAAAAGGAGGAAGACTTACGATTTCTCTTTTTTAACTAGCAAAAATCATTTGGTTAAGTTAATACAATTGATCTACACGCTCCCCATTTTGGTGAATGTGACTAAACTTCTAGTCCAAATATACAACAAGCAATATTTAATTAAAAAGTCTCCAGCTCTCTCTCCTTACGCATATATCAGCAGTATGAAAGCATTTAGTTCGAGAACCAACTGGGGCTATAATGTTTAAACTTCAGTAAAATCTAAGGTTATTTTTATTGTAATAAACACTATACCTTCAAGCGGCACATCTCATATTGTAGAACTATTGGTATAAAATACCAGAGCAAGGCTCAAGTAAATCATCAAGTGGATCCAATTTTACCGATGCTGGAAGTGCACTATATGGAGTTATCTTACCGCAGAGGGGTTGGAGAAGTTGTGTTGACCACTGGAGGTGCTGAAAAGTTCAAGGCAGATGTTCTGCAGGCAGGCCAGCTCGTACCCACAGTCGATATTGCTGGCAATGGGCGATGCCACTCGTCTCCCTGGCTCGAGGACCCCAGGCAGGGAGGAGATGTCTCGCAAAAAACTCCGCATCACCGGTATTTGCGCCTCCACATAGGCATTCATAAAGCGCATGAAGGACTCCTATCAATAGAAGAGAAGGTGCACTAATTACGCGACCTCCTTTTCGGTATATGATGAAACTATTCTCGTATTAGTAAAAAGCAGTGAGTAATATGTTTGTGTACTAAATAGAAGTAGGGCGATAACAAGTGGACAATGAATCACATTGGAGCCATAACCTGCGATTTAATCGTAGCAAATGGTGATGCTCTCCATTAGCTTCATATTTAATCATCTTGGGTCCCAAATTCACTCCAATTGAGCTTGTGGAGATCTTAAGGGGACCACTTTGTTCATACCTCAGAAGGCAGATATGACACCACTCTCTTAGCCATGCCACTCTCAGTTAAATAGCAGGCGTGTTTCTGCCACCATTGGCCCTAACGCACGAAATCCCTTTAAAGGTCTAGGCAATTTGCACAGCACAAAATCAACTTGTTATGTCTATTTCAGGGCTAAAAATGTCAAACTCGGGAAACTGACAGTCAACCATAGTAATGGCGAAGCAATAATTCCCTAAAGTGGTAAAAACCAATGAAGCTAGGAAATAAATAATACGTATACTTAGAACTTGAAAAAAAAAACATCTGAAGAACAGAGCGAAATGGTTTGAAGAAGATCATGTTCAAGTGATAACAAGGAAACTAACTGAAATGCTTAACTGAGTTAGCCTAAAATGCGATTGGGAACAGGCCTGAATTTTATATTTTCAGGTGAAATAGTGGCCTTGATTCATGATGTTTATTAAACAAATATCTTTATTTTTATTTTTATACCAACCAACAAGTCCTGTAACAAACATTTGAAAAGGGCTAGGGAATGTTGGGCAACTATCAATTAGCGATCCTTGACAAAAACAACAACCCAGGTAAACAGTAACAGAAACATGAAAATTTGCGGCACTATCAGGACGCTTTAGGCTCGACACAAAAACACCAAAATAGTTGTATGCTTTCAAAAATTACTGATTTTGACTATAATATTAAACTGTTTGAACGTCGGACCACTCGACCACCTTTTAAATTGCACAAACTTTATTTCCGAGAAATTTTTTACGAGTAACTGCTACATTTCAAACATTGTAAGTGATTTTAGCCAAATACTCTAATTTAAAGGTCATATGAGGCACACCTTTGGCAGTTTTGTACGAAGTTATCATCATCTCCATCATACCTTGTCGTCGAAGGTTGAGAGGTTCGCGAGTGACTGCAGCGACTTGGCGACAAGCGTGAGATTGCGCTGGCAGTTCGACTCGCCGGGAAAGGTGCTGGCGAGACCGAATAGGGAGGGGGTTAGGATGGCAGGGCAGACAAAGCGAAGAAAGATGCACGCCGAGATTAACTTGTCGCAAAACTCGGCGCCCTTGCTTGGCTCAAGCGCCGCCCGAAATGACGAGAATACCTCTAACAGTGGCCTGAATTAAAATACAAAGTATTTGAAAATCAACATCCAGGCTAGAGCATTGAAAACATCAACGCGTTACACCTACTCGACTTATAAGTGACCAAAAAAAACAATGTTTGGCCTAATCTATCGCTTTTCCCATTTTTGTCGTGGTAATGATGTTGTTCTATCCAGGACAAAGAAATTAGCGATTGTAATTTATGAATGGAATACTGCTCATCTAAAACCACTTTGTTACAAAATAATTAAAATCGCACAACCCCAAAGATCAAGGGCATTGAAGCCGGCCACAAAAGTAGGCAACCATCTTTTTTAAACGTATACCGAACCAAAATGGGAATGGAATTTGACCTATTCCTAGTCCCCTGAACCAGCGTTTTCCCACAAGGATGCCAGAATAGCAGGCCACCCATCAAGGGTCGTTAATTTCCGTACTGAACGAAGCCAACTTCGATCGGGACGCGGTTGTCTTGCTGCACCCAGAGGCTGTGTTGACCTGTGCAATCTAAAGGTGTTAACGTTCAATCACTGCATTTTTCACATCAAGGTCATTCGACTAGTTGGTAATGAGGGGTAGATGCTTCCTCCTTACATGTTAGACGATTACGAAACCCTACCATCAATCCCTTTGGGAATAAGCTTTATTTAGGAAGTATTGTGGTAATTTAGATAACTTAGAGCTAGAAAGTGAATAGTAGCATGAGCGAGCGTTCCTAAAACATAGGACTTGTCTCCATTCAGGACTTAGTTAGAAATTAAAATAGGTATCTTCAAAACTTTAAAACTAACAACTGTAATAAGGTGGATGCTTGTCTAACTCGCGGTTTTAGTAAGAAGCCACTTAGGTGCTTCAACACTGTACCTTCACCAGAGGAGCCGGTCTCCAGGCCGTGCCATTTTGCCTTAATCCCTTCTGCATGTCGCATATATATATATATATATATATATATATATATATATATATATA